CATATTAGTAAATGTTGATTAGATTTTTAAAAGTTTATTATTCTGGAGTGAAAACTGAAAACTTGTCTGAATTTATGACTTATTTGATCTTAAAAAGCAAAAACAATTTATTCAGAGACTTACTGTAAATGACTTGTCTGCATTAATGTGATACTGAGATCTGGACTGCAGCACATAGGCCAGGTCTGGCTCAAAGGCAGTGGTAGTGTAGTACTTGTATGCATCTGCTTATCTCTGCATTATTTCCCATACTGACTAGGCTGATCTGAGTTTAAGTGGGTTACTATTCATTTACTTCGTTAACGGAATTCTGCATGCAGCAGTTGTGTGTTCTGAGGGGAATGTTTTTGTTTTAGTTCTGGATGCTCGCTGACTGGTGTGGACGTGTAAAGTTCGTCTGCATCGGCGTTAGAGCACAAAAACTATCCAGTTGTACTCCGGTTCGGTTATCTTCATTAAAGGAAGATCAACATTATTCCCTCCTGGTGTGGTCATTATCCCGCACCTTTACAATCCATCCGTGGCTCCCGTTAACAACCGGTGTCAGAAGTGGGATGTTCCGGACCGGATTCAAAACACGGAAGGACGTCTTGGGTGCTTCGGATGAATCGCTCCAGTAAAAGTAAGGCGGAGGACAAAAAGAAGGAAAAATACAGTCCAGAGAAATAAGCAAGCCAGTATTGAACTCCAAGACTGAAAGCAAGATTAAGCTGTGTAAACAGCGTATCTGTTCGTTTCGGTGAGAAACGTTAACTTGTTAGCAGTTAAAAAAAAAAAATGGCTGTCAAGAAAAGTAACGGCCTCACTTAAAAAACAGTAGCTGGACGTGCCAAAGCCTAAAACAAAGCAGTGACTATATAAAAAATAAAAAATAAATAAAAAATTATAATGGATGAAAATGAGGAACTACTGGGAGCTACAGCAGCACCATCAGACCAACCTCCACCATGGCTGTAAATGTTGTTGGACCATCAATCAAAACAGTTAAAGCAACTGCTAACACCAGTGCTACAGCATGTTGCAGCAGAGCAAAGAGAGACATCTAGAGCAGTGCAACCAACAATAAGCAGCCAAATCCCGAATCCTGGAACTGCCCCTCCTCCCTTAATGTTGCAAGAAAACCCAGAAGCACCCAGTGTTCAACCACACACACCGTTTACTGTAGAATTGGAGGTAATTTGGCAAAAGTTACGTAATGCAGGCCCATCCAACACTTCAGCCATCCATGATCCAACTGCAACACATCCTATTTCACAGGATGCATATGGAGGATTTAGCCAGACTGAGAGTTGGAATGAGGTGGCAAGACAACCCCTACATGAAGCAGCCAAAGTTAAGCTGGCAACATATGACGGCAGAGAGGACTGGGACTCATCTTTGCTCCCCTTTGAACGTCAGGCTCGTAAATGTGGATGGACAGGGGCAGAGAGAGAAGATAAGCTTCATGAATGTCTCCGTGGGGTTGCAATACGTTATGTCTGCTCCTTGCCTGAACACATCAGTGAAGACTACACTCTTGTCAAGGAGCAGCTTACTCAAAGATTTAGAGTAAAAGACCCCCCTACCGCTTTTCGCA